CTCGTTCAAGGGCTGTCGCGCCAAGTACGTACATACATACATACATACATACCATTCTCTTTAACACAAATATTTATTTGTTAATGTAATATATGTACATTTCTGTTGCTATCTGGCTTAGTGTAAGTTCTATCCTATTATGTTACTTCTATATGGCTATTATCTATACTACTGCTACAATTTACAATATGTGCATTGTTGGTTATTATTTACACTGTATGCTATTGGATGTTATAAATAATACATAAACCTAGTCGAATGGCTCTTCCGATCAGAATCTAGTTTTTAGTAGCTTGTGTTCGGCATTGATCCTCTTGTATATTTTCATATACTTTTTCACCTCGCTACCACTTAGGCTGCCACTAACTTCTTGCTTTCACTTCACAGACACTGAAGGCACACACTATTTAGGCAGGGGCTCCAGCTTGTCGTCTGGTGTTGCAGCAGGTCTTTTCTGTTCCGCAGCTAGCTTCCTGTGGCACGGGGTGGAGGACGGCGCCTCTGCGGACTCTGCCCCGCGCTGTTTGTACTCAAGCGGGGTCAGGTGTATATTGCCTGTTTGCGTGTAGCAGCACGCCACTCAGCCATCAATGGCCTCAGTGATTATTCTTTCTCTTAAGGCTTGTAGCTTGTGGCCGCAATTTTCTTTATTGCGGCGTCCCTACCCGCACACCATTCTCCTAGAGCCTATACCACAAGTGGGAGTACTTCGGCGCTGTGGTAACCGACGGTAAAATGGGCCCGGGTGGCTTCGTATTTTTGGCGCTTTTATTCTAACTTGCTGTTAAGTTTGCCCTCTCGTGCGTCTGTCACTGCGAAGTCTACCACGAGTGCCATTCTGCCCCGCGCGAGTACGAGATCAGGGCGGTTGCTGCCCACCACTGCCTGATTCTCCCGGAGCACCTGCCACCCCGCTGCAATGACTGCTTCTTTGTAAATTGCCCCGATATTATGTCGGGCGTTCCATAGTGGTGACAGGTAGCGACACTCCTTGGTAACGTGACCAATGTTTTCGGTTGCTTGTTGTCCGTTGTTCCACGTACATTTCATTCTATAACTTTTGCTCGCGTTACCTGGGCAGCAGTTGAGAGCTGGGGAGGAATTGATCCTGGCCGGAAACAGACTCAGCGGGGGTTTCGTCTTTTCGTACTCAGGTAGGGGGAAGGTGTGGGGAAGTGTGATGTCAGGAATGTGGGTGTTCCCTATTTCTGTGAATTTCCATTCTATTTTTAAGCGCTTGGATGCCTGCCTTGCCCGCGACCAGAATGTAGGCAGCCCATAGCTGCGTTTTGTTCGTTCATTGTTTAGGTAGCGTAGGAGGGAGGGTATGCCTGGCTCACTTTCAAGACAGTACGCCGCTTCCTCGACTGCGTCTTGTAGCGCTGCTTCTCTGGTGTTAGTATCCCAGCAAGTCAATATTTTGAACGCAGAGTCGACAGCCCAGAAGTCTGCCGCCGCGCTCAAGCATTGAATTCCGATAGCTCCATCCTCCCTGTGGCTGTAGATAAAGAAGGTTGAGGCGCGTTCAGGAAGGGAGAGAAACTCCTTCATGCCCCTTACGCTATCCGAGCGTCCCTTCTGCTATCCGAGGACTAAGTGTAATTAAAAAAATGGATCCATTTTTGAGAAAATTTTGAAAATGTTTTGAGGCTACATGTAAAGTACCCTCAAAAATTCAAATTATGCGTTTGAAACTCCCAAAGCCTCGCGTTCGTTCATATCGATCGGGGAAGATCAATTTTGGTGAATATTGGCTGAACGGTTTAGGCACTAGCATCGTAGTGGCGTAACGTTCGGGCCCGCTAGGCCCGCAATGCGGTGGGCCCAGATAAAAAGAGGGCCTGTTTTTACGCCGAAGGCTTTGCGATAGTAAGAAATATTAATTACTTAATACTTTTTCTGATACTTTGCCCTAGTTGATACCATACAAGATTAAAAATCTACCAGAACGATTTTGTCACGCTTCGGTTGCTTACGTAACCATGTTTGTATATCAGTATAATCTGTAACATTTATTTCTTGTGTATTATACCCGCACGTTTTCTTGAACTTCGGGATACCTGCCCCCCCACTTCTTTACTAATATTAGTTGAATTCTGAATAAATGATACGAACAAGCGTTGTTAACAAACAATTGTCTGGGATTAGGAATATTCGCTCCCGTATGGTAGAATCAATTTTGCCTCGAAAAACGTGCGCAGATAAATAGTAATCATAAACTGATGTATATGTATTTGTAAAAGGATATTTTTAAGTTACTAACACTACTTGTGTTGTAATATACTTTTATAAAAGGGGCCGAGATAAACGTTTTGCGGCCGGGCCGGCACTCATTTCGTTACACTATTGGCTAGCATTGACCACAGATCGACAGAGGTTTTGCCGTCAATCAATTTTCGGTATGAAGGACCCACAAAATATGGATTCTGGCTGCACCATGTGTTAGAGGAAGTAATTTACTATATATATGAACAGGATTTAACCCCTTTTTTGTTACCAGGGTCCGGCAATAAAGAGTTTTTCTGGCGAAAATTCGCTGTTTTCCGGCATGATTACATAACTTCTTGTTACGACGTAAGTGCGAGAAAGTAAAAATTCATTATACATTAATGCGTTCAATTGTGTCGTGGGCAGCGACAAGTATAATCGATTTCGTGCTGAGCGAGTAGGAAATTATTGTATTTTACAATCTGTTTTACAGTCTCTAGTGCAGCCGTCGTCATTAGTGAACAGTGGCGGAAGGGAACGGGCTCGACGGATAAAGACAAATGATGCACCAACAGGCCTCCACCCTTATTGCTGACGCAGCATTCGCTACCACAAACAATTGAGAGAGCGCAAGTTCAAAACGCCTCCCCGCACTTATGGCAGCATATAGGAGCACGCCGCAAAGCTCCGTCGCACACCTCCCAATGTTCGGACGCCGATGATGCCGACATGGTCAAGCAGCGGTCATCTCGTCAAGATGTGCTATAAGGACCCACCTCGGAAGTGAAATGTTTTCTTATTACGGCAATAACGCTGATACTTTGTGTGGCACGCTACCTGTCCCGGTACGATCTAATTAGAGTTGCCACATTTTAGTTGTTGCCACATTAAAGTTGCTTGACCAAGAGCCTCCGGATTTGAAGCCAAACTCCGGGCTCGGGGTTTATTCTGATCTCAGGATCATTTCACTATTTCGTTTATTTTACGTGATTATAATTGACACACCCAAAGAGAGAACTTTAATTCCTTTTTATCTTAACAACAGTTTTCATTATTCAGTTGAAGTTGTTAATTTTTGACGCTTTTGTAAACTATTTCACCACTAACCAATGAGATAGAAAAGAGTTTCCAGCTGAAGCAGAATAGATTTTAAAGAAGCCAATGTAAAATATTTGTGATTACGAATGTTAATCAATTT